TCCCTCCAGACTCCTAAATAGCCAAGAAATGGTTTGAACCACAGGCCTCTGCTGAAACATAAAGCTCACAATTATAAAATGTGTTATGACCTTTCAAAGATACGAAATTGAATTACACTTTAGAGTTGCTTGAAACATTTTTTAATTAATCAGTATATGATTACTAAAAAATACTCATAGGATTATCCTGATGTGACTAGTCAATATTGTCTAGCATAATCTAAGCAGTTTCCCTTTTTAAGGAAGTTTAAAAATTTCAAATGAGGGACAATTCCAGTCTTAGGAAACAAAAGTAAAAAGTAAAAAATCAAAGAATCAGGGCCATTATCTAATGATGTACAGTGGGTGGGGAGAGGGAAGGTAAAAAGGAGAGGCACTGGGGTCTGAACTAGAACATGACCTACTCCATGCTTTTATTATTATATCACAAAGGAATCTACTGTGATGTATAACTAAGAAGAACAAATAAAAATATAGAATGATGTAATTTATTTCTACCACAAGTTAGGTTTTTAAAGGTACACTATACTATTGATTTTGTATAGCACTTTTAATACTTCTTTCTCCTCCACAATGCAATTTGTTTTCTTTTAAAGACTAATTGCAAAGAAGGTAGTTAGAAAAGATAACCAAGATTTTATAACACAAAGGATAGATCCACTCTCAAACTCTTAGGGGCAATTATGTGAGTGGTGAATTCATATTGGAAGAGTTAGAGAAAAGAGAATCAGTAATTAAATATTACCAATTCAGTCTTAAATATTGACTTGCTAATAAATTCAGTGTGGGCTCAACTGAAAAGGAGAATAAATGTGTAATGTAAAATTCCAAGGGACATAAATATAAGAAAAGTTTTTTCTTTATTGAATTAAAATTCTTATTCAAGGAACGGAACCTGTAAAGATCTCAATATCAATTTCTTGCTTAAAAAATGGCAAAGTAAGAAAGAACTTGAAATGTGAAAGCAACTGGATAGCATCCAGTCTTATAAAGATAAAAGTGCAGAATTCTAAAGAAGACTGGCAGACATCCCAGATCAATTAAGGAAGAAATCCTGCAGAATAGGCAACATATTCATCTTTGAAACCTTAAATTTAGATAATGCTGCTCAAGAATGGGTAAATGGAGATGAAAAATATACGGAGGTAAAGAAGAAAATATAGGTTTAGGGTTCTTCTACATGATAAATAACTCAATGACTCATTTGATTAAGTTATATCAGTAGTTCATTCAATGCAGTAAAGGAACAGACTACCTGGTTGACTGATGGGACCAACTACTTGTCAATGGTCAAGCTGATAGTTTTGACCACAACAAATTTCAAATGATTATATCTGGAAGATATTGTTTAACATGTGTCAGTGCTATAGCTTGGTGAACTGTATTTGACATTACTATGTAGATTTCCAAACAATATGTGGGGCTGTATACCAACAATGCCTATAGATAAAGTATAAGTATGTGGGATGAATTGGAAATCAACCATCCTTATGACTAGTTGACATGACTATGGTTTTCCTCAAGTTAGGACCAGAGATAGGACTAGGTCTGCATTTGAATCTGTAAAGCAGAAGGAAACATCCCTACCAATTGCCTTGAATTATTATGTGCCATTGAAATTAAGGTTTTTAAACACCCATACCTAATAAGAAGAAAATAGTTCCATGGCCTATTAAAGAAAAGCAGTACTAAAGTGTGGGCTCCCTGGTCAATGATTAAAGAATATTTAAATTAATGCTGCTTGGGGAAAAGTTGCATGAATCAATACATTTTAGCACCCTTAAAGCCTTAATTTTGAAGTAAATTTCTCCATTTTTATGCACAGAAAAATGTAATCAATGCTTTTAAGAATAGTAAACTTATTTCACTATTAATAATAATGGGAATAAGGGAATAAAGGTGGTAAATGTGACAAAGGAGTCAGTTAAGAAAAGAACTTAATATAGGATAAGTGGAATTGTAAAGAAAAAATCATGGAATGGGTGATAATAAATGTATGCTATTTGTTGATAAAACAATACAATAATGTATTTTGCAGATACTTCATATAAAACACTTCACAATGATGTCAGTATTTTAGGTATTTCAAGTCATTTGAAACTATTCAGATTTTACCATAATTGTCATTTTATGAATATTTCATTTCATTCTTTGGCATCCAGAATATTCATACATTATCTTATTTTTAATTTCAAAAATAAGCTAAATTTAATCCAGTTCTCCTCAGCCAAATCATTGATCAAAATCATTTCGTTAATTGTTTTAAAGCATCAGAGCCAATTTTGTCTTTTTTTCTAAATTTACATCATAATTTTAATAAACTATATGTCAAATAATTATCCATTTTAAATTAAAAAATGGTTTAAAGTATCTTTGGACCTGATAAAGCTATACATGTAGCACATAGTGAAGGCACAATTTTTTAAATAAAATACTGAGAATTCTAAAATAGTTCTTTAAAATAATCCAGTGCCATATTCCTATTTTGTAGGGAAATATTGAAGTTCCATGAAAGTTTCGTATTGAACAAGCTCGGTAGCCTTGAGGCAGATCAGAAATTAGGATGTCCCGTTATAGTACTTTGGTTTTCTGAGATCTAGAGAGAAAAGGATGAACAACAAAGGAATATCTGCTTTGAATAAAATAGGCTTCAAAAAATGACAACTATTGTCAAGAGAGCGATCCTGTATGAGTTGCTAGTTAAGACTGGTTGAAGTTTAATTTAAAAAAAAAAATAAGAATAACACCAGTCGAACCACTTCCAGAGATGAAAAGACTTTGAAAAGTTCACACCACCTTTCATTCCTTTTCTATTGTGGCTTTTGTAAGTAGTGAAAAATCCAAGAAGATTTGAAAATGGAGTGGAAAATACCATTCGTGGGTTCAATTCATTTAAGGAAAAGAGTACATGATAAAAATAGTGTCACATTCTGGCCTACCCTTTTATTGAATCTTTACTGCTAGAGTATTTGTTTGGGACAAATGCCATTATACCTGGATCTATTAAAAGTTACTCTTTTAAATTTTTCTGAATAATAGATGTACTTTTTATTATATGAATATCATTGAACAATGGCTTCATATACACTAGTTAATTTACATTCATTGGAATAGTAATAAATATTTATAAGTCAATTTTCATTGTATTGATTCATGTTCTTTTCACCTATAATCATTTAAAATGTAGTGGTTAATTTAATGTTTGGTAAATTAGCTTGACATAGATGTGAAAAATAAATTGAAGCAATCGTATTGCTTATCTTTGAAACAGATCTTTCACACTCTCAAATAATTTTATTAAAAAATCCTATTTACTTTTACTTTCTATGGTTTCCTCTGATTCATTAGACTCTAAATTCCATGGGATTAGGAACCTTGTCTCTCTTGTTCATTATTTCATCCTCAAGATGCTTACAGAGTAGGAAAAAGAAAAATGTTAATGCTTAATTTATACTTGTTGAATGAATGAATGATTAAATGCAAACACAGATTCTATGCCTCTCTCCTCATTGCCTCTTCCAGGAGTTGATTATATTTAGAAACAGATTACTTTACAGTGGATTTCAAACTTTTTGATCATACCCCCAATAGAATTATCTTCTATATTAGCCTCTGTGTGTGTGCACCTGCACAAGTATACAACAAAATATTCATGAAACCATATTATGATCTTCAAAAAACCTAGTCTTTATATTTCTAAGCTCTTGAATCCATCCTATTTAGTTAAAAATAATTCAGGTATTGAAATTTATTTCATGACCCACAAACCTGCATTTTGCAAAAACACTGTTTTAGGTCATAATGCCAATAGTGGTGAATCATGTTAATGTTTGGGTACCTTGAAGGAACACATGTATCCTAGGTGGTTTTGGATAGCTAATTACTTGTCAAGTCTATAATTTGCTGACCTTCTTAACCTATGCAGCAGCATCTAATTCCCTATAGATGGTTATCACTTATTTCCTATACCCTAGACTCTTGGGAGCTGGAAGGCCTACAAGAGGTTGGAAATTTTGTCTTCTAGATGTCATTGGTGAGAAGTTGAGAAATTATGTAAATTTAGATTTGGATTCAACTGCAAACAAAACAATATATTAAAATTCTGTCATATAATTTCCCCCACAATCATACAAACTAAGATTGCTGTCCTTATTTTGTAAGTAAAATGACTGAGTCTCAAGAGGTAAAGTGATTTGTTCTGATGACACAACTAATAAACAGTCTTGACTCACTCATTTTCTACACACAATGCTTTTCCTAGGGAGACAGGATGCATAGTGCAGAAGTTCCTTGAAATAAAGGCAGCTCCTCTGCAGTGCTGAGTTTCCAGGCACCCACAAAAAGGAGGATCCCCAAGGCCTGAATGGCCCCTACCCCCGCCTCTTCCTAAGGGACTATGAAGGCAAAGGAACCTTATGTTCTCACGCAATTTCTTCACTCTGCCCATTCTATCATTGATCCACCCTGTCCTCTAAGCCCTTCTACTGTGCAGGGGACAGGAAAGCACCCTTAGCAAATGGTTGTTGCACTTATACACTTTACCACCTGAGTCCATCCCAACTACATCTCTGTGAAATGAGAAGGGCAGGCTGTTTATTCCCCTGAGAAACTACCCTTGACTCAACTAAGATCACAGCAACTGGGATCCAAAGTAAATAAAGCTCAGAATCAGCTCATTTTGCCTTGCACTTTTCCATTGTACATATAGTAAAATGTTGACTCAATACAATCTGATTTTGGTTACAGTAAAAAACAAAACAAAACAACAACAACAACAACAAAAATAAACACTCCAAACTCCAATCATTCTTCCCAAATCCCACCATCACCAAGGCTAGAACAGTGGCCACCTTGTTCCCTGCACCCTTTTTGGTCCGACAAACATAAAAGCCCAGGATGGCAAAGAGTCCTGTTCCACTGTCAAACTGGGCATGCTCAGTGGCAGTGCAGGTTTGGCCCAGGGAGCCTGGGTGCTCGCGCCGCTGCTTTGAGCTGTGTGCGCGCAGCTCAGGGGGCGCTGCCACCCGGGCCGGGCCGGACACGGCGCCGCCTGCCCCCTGCAGCTTGTGCTGCTGCTGCCGGCCACAGGAGGGGGCGAACAAACGTCAACCTGTTGTTTGTCCAGTCACCCTTTATCAACTCTCAGCACCACAAGGAAGTGCGGCACCCACACGCGCTCAGAAAGTTCAGCCTGCAGGAAGTTTAGGGAGAGCTCGGCGATTAGCTCAGCGGGCCGGGCCAGCGCTGGGGAGCGCAGGCGGCGAGAGCGCAGGGAGGCGCGGCGTCCGTCCCGAGCAGAACCCGGTTTTTGTCTTGGAGCGAAGCTGTCCCGAAGTCGCTAATCCCAAATGCACCGGCTCATCTTCCTCTACACCCTGGCCTGCGCAAACTTCTGCAGCTATCGGGACACTTATGCAACTCCGCAAAGCGCATCCATCAAAGCTTTGCGCAACGCCAACCTGAGGCGAGATGGTAAGAGGCTCATTTTATTTACTTATTTTTAATTAAAATAGTCACGTTTGATGTCATTGTTCTTTCTATCCACCTCCCCAAATCCTTCACATGAATTTGGACTGAATGCATTGTTTGGCTACGGAGTTGTTCTGCTTGTCTGTAGTCCCTTCAGCCCCTCCTTCAGCCCCTCCTTCCAGAATGGGGCTGACGGGTGTGGGACGCCAGCAGGAGGGCATAGTATGGATCAGGTGGCTCATCTTGCTGCACCCTAGAAAAGTCATTTTGGTGTCCAGAAGTCTGACACCAGGATGCTGTGCCTCATCCTGGAGTTGGAGAAAGTTGCAGACTACGCCACCCCTTGGTGAGGCTCTTAACCTTTTGGACTTATAACTAGCAAAGACCAGGCATTTGTGATAGGTGGAGTCAAGAGTGACCTTCTCTGGGTGATTTTTTAACTTAATTATGCATGTATTTTTAGTGCGTTTCAGTACTGCAATTTTATCTGGAGCAAGGTGACTATTTATTTATATATTAGTTATTTATTAGGAGAAGTTCAATGTTGCCCCTTCCAGACCCTTAAGTGACTTTCCCTTGGAACTTATGTCTGGCTCAGAAAAGCAGTCTAGGAGATAGGGTTTCTGGGGCTTCCTCTGTCACCACAGGGGGACCTGGCTTCTGCTGTTAGTGCTCTTGTGTGGGAGGCTTTCAAACTATTTGGAAGGAGAAAACTCCTGAAGCAGCTTTCCTAAGCAAGGTCTCAAAACAGGCTTATTTGTTTTCCTTTGCTCTGGAGGACACCTGGGTCATTGGGTCTCAGAGACTCTAACTTCAGATTATTTACTTTCTGGAGCTTCCACGGACAATCTGAAGTTGGTTTATTCTTCAATTCCCAGCTGTAGCTAATGTTCCGGTTATCTGCAGCTGTTTCTGGTATGCACCTAGATAGACCCTCAGGTTTTGAGGTTTTGTTTTCCCCTGATTCAGTATCATCTCTCCTGCTTTCTTCAAGTTCTAACACACCCCCTAGGAAGATTACCAGCCTAATCTTATAGCATCCCTGTTTGAGCTGGTGACATTTGACTGTCTTACTTGTAAATTCATATTAATTATTTTATACCCATATCACTTTCATTCTTGGTGTGTCCTTATTTTGGACTTCACTGGAAGACTTTTGGACTTTGAAGGGAAAATATAAACTTTACTGTATTTCTGATAACAACTAGACTGTGGATTTCAGTATGTTCAAGTCATTTGAAATGGTAAGGTGTGTTGTGGGGGAAGCCCCGGTCACCTTACTTCATTACAGTGTTTCATATGAAATATTCCAGCAGTGCATTTTTAATAATCTGCTATCTTAGATAAAGCACAAAAGTTTCTTAGTAAAATTAAAAAACAATTTAGGCCCAAGACCAAGATGTTATAGTTTTACTCTTTAAGGTTTCCACTAGAGACATATCTTCTCCTACTTGATTTTTTAAGTTTGCTCATGTTTGTACTTTATATGCCCTTTTAACTGCATAGAGTAAAATGCCACTTATGATTTGCATGACTTCATAGCCAAAATTTTGTAATCCTTAGCCTCCCAAGTATCAGTTACAAGAAGTCAAGGACAGAAAATGAAAAGTATGTAACCATTTTCCATTAGCCCAAGATTCTGTCTAAAACCAAGTTATGCAGCTGCAGCTCAGAATTTTTTAAAAATTATTTTTTTGGGGTAGGGAATACTCTTATTTTAGTTTTTATTGCTAAAACTCCATATGTCTAATCTATTTGGTAAATATTTTGTTCTAGCAAATTTTTAAAAACTACCATGGGTTTTTAATTTCTTTATAGTGTAGCCAGGTCTATTTAACAGTTACTCACACAGTTTAACAGTACACACACACACACACACACACTTTAATTAGCTCAGATTGCTAAATATTTTCCTCCATATCAGTTTCATCTTATAAACAATGCTGTGAAGGAAGAAAAGCTAGACACATAAAATCATTTTATAGGGAGTAAAAATATTAACACTCTAATGAGGTTTTAGTTAAATTTTCAAATGGCAGCTTTTTCTTAAGTGCATATGATTCCCCTAAGGGGGTGATATTGGGCTTTAGGGGTGAAAACTCTTAGCTATTACAATGATTTCTGTTCCTCTAAGGGGCTACAATATAAAAACAGATATAGAGTATATCAGTGGTGTTAACATTTCATGGGGAAGGAAGGTGAATAGAAAAAAAAAATGTTCAAAAAGATTGATGGAGGTTGGTAATGGTGAAGAAAAGGTTGAAAAACACTGTTGGAGAATTTTGGTGAGAGAGTAAAATTAAAGAATCTTTGAAGAGGTCTAGACGTCATCTAGAAAACTCTAATGGCAATATTTGAGCTGTCAGAAAGTAATAACTTGTTAAATTGACTCCAAGCTTTCTCAGCTTGCTTTCTCAAATCTTCTTCATAGCCCATTGAAGAACACAATATTCGTTTTATTTTGGATATAAAATTAAGGTAGGATGTAAACTTCAGGGAGATGTAGATAAGGAATATATTTAGGAAAAAATATAAAAACATAAGTTTCAAATATTAATGTAGGGCCTTTAGGAAATCTAGCCCTTAGATTAAAATGCATAGGATATCACAAGAAAAAAATAAATTGGCCATGATCCTTGAGAGGGATGGTAGAAAACATCACCTGATGATAGAACTATCTTCACATGTGAATGTCATCCATTTGTTCCTGCCAGGCTGAATAGGTGCTGCCTCCAGTTGCAGTCAAGAAAGGAACAACAAGAGCAGATGTCCTATAAGAAGGGCATCAGGTGTATTGCATTCTGTCTGGCTTGATACAGAAACTCACATGTGATCTATTGTGCCTAAGAGGTCCCGATAACTGGGATAGCTAAGAAATGATATGCAAATATGTAGTGCTAGGGTTGTAAATGATAGTCTTTCTCAGCCATTATAGGAGGCTGGCTGGCTCTCATCTTCTGGCTTCTGGAAATCTCCATCATAATCTATTCTTGTTCTAAAGAGACATCACCAGAGCCCTTCCATTTGAAGAATGATTATAAGTGCCCCTGTGGAGAAATGTGGTTGAATTTGGTTCATCTTTCTAGGAGGAAATGAGGCTGTATGCTAAAACATAATAATTAGTGGTATTAATTGAGTGTTTATTCTTATATCAGAGTTTTTATTGTTCTTGCTCAGACCAATTTATGAACACAGAGAAAAAAAATCCCAATTTAACCCTAGCACTCTTGTTTTAGTGCCTATACAGTCCGTGCCTTTGTGATAATAACTGGTCACAAGTATGTATTGCTCAGAGTGTGTATCAAGAAGTATAAAGTAGCAATTAACTGACACTTACTTACTTAAAAATCTAACTTTCTGCCTATGGATTTAAGAATATACTTTATTGACCTTTTGTTGATTTCTGAAAGTAAGGTGTTGCTGGTAAGCAGTGATGGATTTAGTTCCGCTTGGTAAATATACCAGAACTTGAATTGTCTATTACATTATCATTAGCTAATGATCGGCTTGCAGTTTTAGTAATTGTGCTTAGATTTTAAAGTAGTCAAGCTTGTTTTTTAAATGTGGCTTTCTATTGTCATCGATGGAAGTATACTGACTTTGGTGCATAGAGATTAAACCAGGTGTGGTGGTGCATGCCTGTAATCCTAGTGACTTGGGAGGCTGAGTTGGGAGGATGCTAGCCTCAACAACTTAGACCCTGTCTCAAAATAAAAACTAAAAGAGCTGAGCTGAGGATGAGGCTCAGTAGTTAAGTGTCTCTGGGTTCAGTCCCTGATACCAATTTAAAAAACAAACAAACAAACAGAGTTTAAGGGAAGGCAACAAAACAGAGGAAAATATAAACAAATTATTTTTTAAGTGTTTGAAAACTAAGAATCAGATTAGTGTTTAAATTCTCTGCTCTTCTGAATTTATAATTTATTTTATATACTTTAAATATAAATACTTTAAATACTCTAATAGTATTTAAGACTCCCAATCTTATGAAGCATAGTGGAGATTACATATTTTAAATTCAACAACTTTGAATTGCCACCAGGGGTAATAATATTTAATTAAGATTCTTTTAAAGAGTACAGTTTAGCCAGGTGTTTGGATGCCATGCAAGTGGAGGGTGCCAGTAATGGCATTATGAAGTCCCTGAATGTCAGTGGGTTTTTCTACAGGATTTTCCCTTTCAGTGAATAAGAGTAAAACTGTATTGTTTCAGAACAATAGAGTCAAACAATGGAGCAGAGCTCACAGGGCCATCCACCTTTTCTGACCGGCAAGAAACATAAGCATGCTGTCTCTGTCACGCAAGACTGTGAGCATATTTGGTCTCAAACCCCCGTCATTCTGAGTCTGGAAGGATATGCCCTTGAGAGCTGAGTCATAATGCAAATCATCTTCCTTTTGGAACTTACTCTTGAATTCTCTTTTTTGAAATGATCTCATTAGTGTGAAAAGCTAGTTCCTGAATACCTTAATAAAAGCCTTCCTTTTATTAAGATAGGAAAGTCTTTTAGGTGAACCAGAGGTAGGATGTTTCTAACTCATCTATGCCATGACATTTGGGTATTGCACTGATCTTTCTCAAGGGAACAAGATGGTTTTAGAGTAGAATTGAGTTAGTAGCTAAGTTGCCTATCCTCTTTCAAAGTTATCTCTTTTCAAGTGATTCTTGACTTAATCTGACTATTTTCCAAAGACAAAAGGTAAACAAATAGTTTTTTTTATCCTGCACTCTGCTGCTAAGTCCTGCTGTCACTGTTATTTATTTATTCGATGGTTATTTCTTGCTTCTGTCATATCTGCCATGTCTTGTCCTAGATGTTCAGTTGTTTAGCACAATATGAATGAAGCATACATGATTCCTGCCATCCTGAAATCTGCAATCTAGTGAACAATATGGACAAATAACTAGTCAGTTCCAAGTGTTGCTCTTAACTTTCTGATGTATTCTGAAGAGGGCCAAGTGCCTTAGAGGTCCCTGCAAGGGGACCTCAGAACACGTTAGC